CTTCTGTTAAATAAATTTCCAGTTTTCATCAAGTATTTTTCTCTTTCGCTGATTGTCAATCTTCATTAAGTATTTAAGGAAACTTAAGTCTTGTCATATATAAAATATATGATTCTTTACTATGGTACTTGCGTACTACTCAGTACCGGAAAGTACCAGTTGACAGTTAATTTCAAATGAATTGTTGTATATTCCTATTGGTTGAAATTCTTCAGAGTAAGGGTAGAAAAAATCTTCTTCCGGGACTAACTTATGCCACTTCGGTTCAAGAAGCATGCCGATTTTCTACTTAATTTTGACGGTAGTGCAGGTGCCTGACGTTCTGATTTGTTCTGGTTGTCTCCTTCTGGATTGGTGGATGACTCCTTCTCTTTGTAAGGATCAAAAAATCAGAAGATAACTTGGCGAATGTCAGTGATTTTTATAGCAATTTGGAACGAGCTCTCCGCCACTTGGTGCAGGAAGTAATTTGCTCTAAAACCATGCGAGGACTTTCAATACCGAGATAAGACCACTATTGCGTCGATATGCCCAACATCGAGGGTAAAGTAAGCTTATGTTTTCCTCCTTATTTTCTCAGGTTTAATTCTGGAAATATTTTATAGGGTTTTCCTTTCCCCAGATTTTTCCATTTTTGGAAGTTTTTCGAAAGTCTTCACTTTTTCCGAAGATTCCGTTTTGATTGGTTTTCTTTTTGGACCTCGTAGGTTTCGACAATTACCCAGTTACCCTTGCTGTTGATGCAAACCTAACAGCAGAGACCTTGGATCGGGACGACCTCTGGACCACGACGTGCCCTAACCACCCTGGAAACCATAGCCAAAAAACCGCAAGTTTTTAACGTTTTATCTGTTAATTTTTTTACTTTTTTATTCTATTCAACTTTCAAAATTAAGATTGAATTTAGTTTACATGAAAATAACTATATTTGCTTTACGAGGAAGAGGGTGACATTAGATACTTGAGTACAAGGAATAAGATATCTCTAATTGGACGAAGATTGTGGGAATTGGTTTATTTGCGTCTTGTGTGAACCAGCGTGATCACGTCACAGGGGTGCACAATTACATTAATGTATATATTTTTTATTGATAGTTTCCTCCAAGCTCTTACATTTGCTAAGTATTTTCCCTGATCACATCAATATTTTTAACATTGAAAATGTTTCTGTTATCTATATAAGGGGCTTTAAATCAGATTAAAATGCTACATTTGCCACCATGACGTCATATATATACAAGGGTATAGGAAATCTCGGCGCAGCGGCGGCGGTCGGCCAGCGCGCGCAAAACCATTACATCGCTAATTGTTTATTGATATATCTTTATTAGTTTAAAAAGCAAAAATATGGGGTTTGCTTTGATACCTTGTCAAGAAATAAGAGCAGGAAACTTTTAAATTATTTCTTTTTCATTTTAGGCCTTCGTTATTTTTAAGTTATATTAAAAAAGTCTATTTTAAAACCAAATTTTCGCATGATTGAAATGAGTTATTCATATTTAAAAGTTTTTTACACA